AAAAAAAAAAAAAAAAAAAAAAAAAAAAAAAAAAAAAATCCTATTTCACTGTCATGTGGAATGGATGATCGATAGCAAAAAACGTTTTCCACCAAAATTTTAAACAAAGTGAAAATTCATTCATCTGTCGTGATTACTTAATTCAAACCAGAAACAAAAACTAGAAGAATCATCACAGAAGATCGAGGACGGATGAAGAAAGAAAGAATGAAATCAAACTCACTTCGGGAGTACTCCGCGGATAGTGAATAGAACCAGAGAAGAGAAGTTTGTGTTCGCCATTAATGATCAACGATCTTCCGTCGTAAGTTACGTTGCCACTGCTGCGGTTGCCTCCAAGGACGCCATCGAATAACGCCGCTATCAATATCAAAGCTAAAATCCATAGTAATCTAATGACGCCGGATTCTGGTTTCGTCATTGATTTTCAGAACAACCTTGCTTTCTTCCAAAGCTTTTCCTGCCAAATATGCCTACCTTTTTATGTCACTTTTCTCTCACCTAAATGAAATACATGAAACGTGTCTGGATTATATACAATGCTTCATAATTAACTATCAATTATTTTAAATTAATAAAAAAAAATAAGAAATTCACTTATTTGCAGAAGCCCTCGTCCAAATGAGTATTTTATAGAGAGCGGACAAGAAATTTCATTAATAACTCATCGTTTGATTATTTAGAACAACTCAATGAATTTAATAGAACTTTTTAGGAGGAACAAATAACTATGGATAACACTTATCCTATTTTTACAGTGGGATCGGTTGGCTGTTCACCAACCAGTTCCAACTTGAATTAATTAACTAATAAAGTATTATATTAAATTACAACTTTACTTCTCTCTTTTAAAAATTATCTACTAAATATTTAAAATATTTAAAATTTAAATTTTATGTAGATGGAATTTTTTATTATTTATTGAATCATTTTTAAAAATTTTTAAAAAGAAGTTTCGTATTATTAAAAAAATTTATATTTAATATATCAAATATTTTTAAAATAAATTTGCATATATCCTTTCCGTATTTTAAACATAAAATTACAAAAAAAAAAAAAAAGAAAAAAAATGTAAAATTATAAATTTATGGATTAAAATTATAATTAAAAGATAATGGGAAGAAAGTTATCAAATTCGATAGTTGAAACGTCCATTGAATCACATGAAAGAGACCAGTCGACTTCCAAATATTCATGCATGTGAGACTATTTCCTCCGATAATAAAATAAATAATTTAAAATATGTTTAATTTAAAATTCTCATTTAATTATTTTCACATTTCACAAAATTGACGTATAGTTAAATTATTATTTTATTAAGATATTTAAATTTATTTTCATATCTCATCACATAAAATATAACACGTATGTCCACATATTTTAAATAAAATAATAATTAAATGACTCATCAGATAAATTTAATAATTTAAAAATATTAAGAACCAACTTAAAAATTATTTAAAAAAATTAATAACCATTTCTTATCTTTAAATTTTGTTTATTTGTGTTTTTTTTGTTAATAAATAATTGAAGATATAGAGGTAATTTGGTATATCATGGCTTATTTTTGCTGGCTGCCTAATAAATGTCAGCCAAATTAGGAAATCTTCAATTAAATTCCATTTTTAGCTTACATTTTCCAAATTCTAAATAAGGATAAATGTTTTTTTTAATACAGTTCAGGTTTACAGTCGCATCGTTAATAGGTATTGTATTCTTTGGATTTCTTTTTTTTCAGATTTTCGCTCCAGATTTTTAAAATTAGTTTTTTTTTAGAGGTTTTCAGACCCTTATAAAAAAATGTTTTGTTTTACTCTCCAACAGATGAAATCTGACAGTTAATTTTGGTATCTTAATAAATATTTATTATAAAAATAAATATTTTTAGAAAATGTGACAAAATTTGTTTGTAATTTTCTTAAAATTATGATCAAATTAAAAAAAAAGTTTAAAAAGATTTTATGAACAAGTACATGTATTTACTTTAAATTACATCAAAACTTTGAAACTAACGTAACATTTACATTAAATTTGAATAACTATCGCTAATTTTGATAAACTTTTATTTAAAACATAGCGAATAAAAATAATATTACGTGCATTTAATGAATTTAAAGAAGTCTAATATGAAATTAATGATTAAAAATAAACAACATTAAAATTAATTGAAATTTATGAGTTTTGCAAGTTTTATTCAAATTGCGTTAATTAGACTTTTTATATTTAGAGGCAAATTCTACTTTTCTTTATAGTTCTTAAATTAATTATTTTTTTTTCTTAATTATTGCATGTTAATGATATCTAAAAATCATCAATAAAAGACATAAATAATAAAACTGTTTGTTAAAGTAATAATTTTTTTTTTTATATATAACCAGTCTCTTTAATATTATTACAAAATATAAAATAAAAAAATGTAAAAATTAATCGAAATAACTAAGCAAACATTATTAGAATCATGATATGCATACACGTTAACTACTATAGACACACTGGTGGAGTGTGTGTCTGATGTAGATGATCATGAGGTTCATCTATTTTAGCAGGTCGTGTCTTCAAGTCGCAAGAAGTCGCCTCCAAAAAATGATATTAATATTTTTGTCAAATCAATATAATATAATTAAGAAATTAAACTGCCACGTCATTATATTAAAAGTGTTTATATTAAAAATTAAATAAGGGAAAATTCAAAGACTAGAAATCTACTTTATCATTGGTAGCCCAATTTATTGGGATTTTGTATAATTTAAAATTTAGAAAATAAAAAACTTAAGAAAGGGGGAGAAGGGGTTGTTGGAGTGAGGCCCAAGCCATTAATAGAGCTGTACTACAAAACTTAAGAAAGGGGGAGAAGGGGTTGTTGGAGTGAGGCCCAAGCCATTAATAGAGCTGTACTACAATCCACTGAGTCGCTGCTTCCCGCATTTCTCCTTGCGATTCAACTCTCTCTTCTCTCAGGTGCGGATTTCTTCCTTCAATCTTCACAACTTCAATACATATCTCTACATGTTTTAGTCCTCCTTGCGATTCAACTCTCTCTTCTCTCAGGTTCGGATTTCTTCCTTCAATCTTCACAACTTCAATACATATCTCTACATGTTTTAGTCCTCCTTGCGATTCAACTCTCTCTTCTCTCAGGTTCGGATTTCTTCCTTCAATCTTCACAACTTCAATACATATCTCTACATGTTTTAGTCCTCCTTGCGATTCAACTCTCTCTTCTCTCAGGTTCGGATTTCTTCCTTCAATCTTCACAACTTCAATACATATCTCTACATGTTTTAGTCCTCCTTGCGTTTCATTGATTTGATTTCGGTACAAACGTTTCCGATCGCTCTGAGCTGACGATTCTCTCTTGTTTTTTCTTGTTCTCATGTCACAAAGATTAAGATTCTCATACTTTGTTCCAGGAAAGCTCGAGTAGCGGACCTAATACCGGTGCGTTTCTCTTCAGTAGCATTACTGCCATTCTTTTGGAATTTTTAGCTTGATGTAGTTCAGACATTGTGGTATTAAATTGTTTTTTATTAGATTTGATTGAGTTATTTAAATTAGATTTGATTTAGTTATTTAAATTAGATTTGATTTAGTTAGTTGAATTAGATTTGATTTAGTCATATTCGGATAGTGTAATGCTATATAATAGCCAGTTTCAGAATACCTCATTTAGTAATATCAGAATTGATTGTGTAATGCTATATAATAGCCAGTTTCAGAATAGGAGGAGAGATTTCTCCAATTCTTCTGATGTTTCAAGTTTTCTTTTTCTGTTACTAACACAGACAATTGCCACAGATTTCCAGAAAATTTATCGGACTCATGATTAGCTATTTCTTGGCCTTTCGGGCTTCGGTACCGATGCTCAAACACTGTATGTTCCTGTGGTTGATTCTTTTCGGTTTGGTTAATTTTCCGTTGCTTAACTCCTTTTCGCTTGAAATGAAGGTATCAATGGCTTGTCTACCAGCACAAACTATACCAGCTTCGTGAAGAGAGGGACATGAAACCTGAGACATTTGCTAGCCTTGTCTCAGCACGTCTTCATGAGAAAAGGTTGGACATCGATTAAACTTCTAGTTATCTCTTTTTCAGCAGTTTTAATCACGCATACTCTTTATTTTTCGCCATAGACTGAAGAACACGGTTGGGAATGAGATTTATTTAGGATTTGTACGAGCTTCATTTGTGTGTATATGTTGATTCTTCTACCAATGTGATCCTCATGTTGGTGTAATATTTTAAGCTGACTTGATAGACATGTTGTCTTACACTAAGGTGTTGAGGATTGTTGGGAATGAGTCACACATTGGCTAATTAAGGAAACAGTCATGAGTTTATAAGTAAGGAATACATCTCCATTGGTATGAGACATTTTGGGAGTTAATTGGTATGAGACATTTTGGGGAGGATTGTTGGGAATGAGTCACACATTGGCTAATTAAGGAAACAATCATGAGTTTATAAGTAAGGAATACATCTCCATTGGTATGAGACATTTTGGGAGTTAATTGGTATGAGACATTTTGGGGAAACCTTGCAAAGTTATGAGAGATTATGCTCAAAGTGGATAATATCATACCATTGTGGACGTCTGTGATTCCCAACATGGTATTAGAACCATGCTTTTAACTTAGCCATGTCAATAGAATCCTTAAATGTTGAACAAAGAAGTTGTGAGCCTCGAAGGTGTAGTCAAAAGTGACTCAAGTGTCAAATAAAGGGTGTACTTTGTTCGAAGGCTCCAAAGAATGAGTTGAGTCTCGATTAAGGGGAGACTGTTCGAGGGCTCTATAGGCCTTAGGGAAGGTTCTATAGTGTACTTTATTCGTTGGGAGCATTGTTGGGAAAGGAGTCTCACATTTGTTAATTAAGGGGTTGATCATAGACTTTACTGAGAGTTTATGTTTAAACGAACGAGTCTCACATATGCTAATTAAGGGGTTGATCATAGACTTTACTGAGAGTTTATGTTTAAATGAACAATATCATATTATTGTGAAGGTCTGTCATTATTTACATTAATACGATAGTAAAGGCTTGTTCCATCACTACGTGCATTGAGCATCGACGAACAGAGTTTTGGTAATGGAAACAACATCGAGAGTGATCTCGACTGGGTTTCCTATTTCTTCTTCAAAGATAACCAACAGGTTTCCGGTTGGCTTGAGGAAGGAACGTGGTACATGATACCTGGATTGAAACAACACAAATAATTGTATTAAAGATATGATATAATAACACCAGAGACTAAGGTCTTAATAAACTGTGTACCATTTCTGTGAAGGCTCCCCTTTTCTGGTGAGGAAGGAGACCCAGTACCGGCCAATGCCCCAGCCATTAACCCAAACTGCACCTTTCCCCATGGAACCAAGGTTCAGGGCGATAGGGTCATCGCCCGGAGGTGCATCGAATCGTGTCTGTCAATTAGCAATGAATTTAAAATGGTGAAACAGAAAAGCTAGCTCACCACTAGTAGATATTGTCATCTTTGAACTTTCCATTTAGAACTTCTCTCAAAGTTTTTAACACATGTCTGCTAGGAAGAGATTTCCATACTCTTGTAAAGAATGTCATTCTCTTCGTCTATTTCCAAAGAGGACAGCTCTTGTCAAGAATGTCATTCTCTTTGTTTATTTCCAAAGAGGACAATATCTACTAATGGTGGAATGGGCGGTTACAAATTATTTATGGGTTAGTACCTTATACCATGCGAGGGGCTGAGACAAGTTATCTAACTTACTCCATTGAGTATCATTTGACCCCAAGCCTAAAAATATTTGTGAGTTCTCTCCGGATAGGCCAACCTTTTGACACATTGTTAAAAAAATGTTAGCTTTAAGTTTATATTTATGTTGGTATTAGGAGATTAGAACATTCAAGGACCTTGTATCCCCAAGGTTGCATAGAGTAATCTTTGCCTCCAATTTTCACTCTTCGTAGTCCAAGAACTCTTCTTTCAAGATATGCTCCAGAACCCTTCACATAAGAACTCACTCAGATGGTATCAAATGCATCAAACTATGGAAGGAAAGATAAAATATCCGTACCGATAACCCGACTGTTACACTGAGCAATGAGATGTTGTTGGTTCCATGTCTCAATGTAATATTATTATTCATATAGAAGCTCAATTCATTTTTAGCTCCATGGGCGGAGCCTGTAAAACATTAATAGATAAATGTTAGGTAATACGGTCTCTTCGAGTTTCAACCATAAAAATAAAGACAAGACTCGCCTGCATAAATTCCATTGACGAATGCATGCAAAACATGAGCTCGAGAACCCACTTCAAGTGTTTGTTGAGAGTCAGGAGAATCCTGTTCAACCCTGCAGGTGAAGGTCAAACCCAATAATTATTATGAGCCCATTTTTCTATCAATTGGTGTTAATAAAAGGTACGAGTGTTTTCAGTTGTGTTCAACAATAGTTTGATTATGAGCGGTAGAATTTCCACTTATAATTTACCTCATAGTGTACCAAAGATAATCTGTGCTGTCTTTGGTGATACCCGTTTGCTCTAATAACTTATTTTCTCTTAACGTGGTTTGATCAAAGCTAGGTATCAGTTCGTTGAACTCTTGCCATTTTTCAGGCGAATTAAACTTTTGTACGACCTTCATTGTTCTTGTATTGTAGTGTACGCTTACCTAATGAATAGTATTTCAAGGGTTAAAATTAATGAGGAATAAGAGAAACAAGTTGTTGGTTTAAGGCTTACCTTTTTGGTGTTGAAGGCCACAGTTTTGCAATCTGGTAAGATGCTGATGGAATATGAAGGTAACTTGTATGTAACGTTCTGAAACAGAACACTCACGTCCTTAACTCCCCTATTCACCAAAAAGGCAGCACATTCTCTAGACTTAGTTTTGAACACATAGACCTGCCAAAACAGATGGATGAGTAATGTGAGATCCCACATTCTTTATATGGGTATAAAAACTTCTCCCTAACATACACGTTTTTAAAACATTAAAGGAAAATCTGGAAGAAAAATGTCGAAGCGGATAATATTTGCTAACGTGGGCTTGGGTGGTTACAAATGGTATAAGAGCCAGACACTAGACGATGTGTCAGCGAGGACGCTGGGATTCCAAGGGAGCTGGATTGAGAGATCTCACATTGGTTGGATAGAAGAACGAAACATTCCTTATACGGGTGTATAAATTTCTCCCTAGTAGACACGTGTTAAAACCTTAAGGGGAAGTCTGGAAGGGAAAGTTCGAAGAGGATAATATGAGATCCCACATTCTTTATATGGGTATAAAACCTCTCCCTAACATACACGTTTTTAAAACATTAAGGGAAATTTTGGAAGAAAAATGTCGAAGCGGACAATATCTACTAGCGTTGGCTTGGACAGTTACAAATGGTATAAGAGCCCGGCACTAGGCGATGTGCCAGTGAGGACACTAGGTCTCCAAGGGGTGGATTGTGAGATCCCACATTGGTTGGATAGAAGAACAAAACATTCCTTATATGGGTGTGGAAACCTCTCACTAGTAAACACGTTTTAAAAATTGAGAAAAAGTCTGGAACTACTAGTGGTGGGTTTGAATAAACTTACGTCTTGTCGAATGCCGAGTGAGATGTTGGATTTTGTTCCATAAAGCAAGGGTTTGGTGCATAGCTTAACTGCAGCATGCAATTCCTTAAGATGACTCCATTTTGGTTCCCTAATGAAACCTACAAAAAAAAAAAAAAAATGTGGCGAACAGTTTCCAGCTAATGCAAAAATATGAATGATATGAGCGAATTTATTGAAAATACGGTTTTTACCATATTCGTCCAGAGGGGCTTGATCATAGTAGCCTGTAATCATATATGCACCGGCAGATCTTCCAAAATTGGTTCCTCCATGATACTGGGAGAAAGTGAACCGTGGTTTTTGGTTTACAATAATCACATCTTTAAATAAGTTCATAACAACAAATAAAAAATTGAGAGAGAGTTAAATCAAAATACCATATAATAATTGACAAAAGCCCCCTTCTTTGCAGCAATGAAAAAGGCTACATGAAATGCAATATCCTCTGCTGATCTTATGTACGGTTCGCCCCCATAAACTTGATAGCTGTAACCCAACCCTCATTAGAAATTAATATCAATCTGGTTTTCATGATATGCAAAATATTTGGATACAAAGCAAGCGCAAGACATACTAGGTAGAATAGTTCTCGGTCCAAATAGATGGCTTATTAGGCGAGTTTGGTCCAGTGAATGTTTCTCCACATTTCAACCCATTGCACGTATTTATCTACCAATTGAATATTTAAGTAAAATGGAAATAGAAAAGAAAATATATGTTAGGAATCACGTATCTCCACATTGGTATGATATTGTCTACTTTGAGCATAAGCTCTCATTGCTTTGCTTTGGGCTTCCCCAAAAGACCTCGCACCAATGAAGATAGTATTCCTCATTTATAAACCTATGATCTTCCACTAAACTAACCAACGTGGGACTCACTTCCAATAATCCTTAACAATATAAGTCATATGATTATGTTTACGTATATACCGTAGGGTTAGGTGCATCGTTTTGCTTGCACATGATCCATGGCACACCGGTTTGAAGGCTAACCGCCATGTTTGCTGCCCATTTAACATAAGGAGGTCCTTTCTCATTAAAGAATTTCTCCACCATCGAGTATTCATTCTCAATCTGCAATTCCATTGATGAGTTTTCTTAAAGAAGTGACATGAAAAACGAATATAAAAAAAAAGGTTCATTGGTGGTGTTGCCCACTGGGCTCGAACCTGTGAAAGTATAATAGGCCCTCCCTGAGAAGCATATAAGCCTTCCGACTTCATCATGTTCACTATCTTCGTGGTGAAGTTTTGCATGCGAACCTGTTAAACTTAATAGAATAAGTTACTAACTTATGAATATCTTTAAGAATGGTCAAATTTAATAGAATGAGTTACTAATTTACATTGAGAAAAAAAATTTAAGAAATTAATTAGTGCTTTTCCATTGTAAATATTCGTTAGAGATGTGTGCTAAGAATTGAAAAACATAAGTAATTAAGGTCCCTCTATTTAAAAGTTCTCTCCCTGTCCTTCATTGTTTGTTTTGACATATTTCGATCGTGAGTTAGATCCAACACGGTGTAACGTGTGTTAGGATCGCACAATAACGCACACACTCGATCTAGACTAGAATCGCACAACAACGCACACACTCGATCTAGATGAACATAAAAAACATGAGAGAGAAAATGCAATGAGGAATATTGGCTAAAGATTTATATTGATAACTTCATTTATATATAATAATAGAGAAATTACATATTGAAATC